TGGAAATTATAGTCGATAAGTGAAGAGACACAGGTGGGAAGCAGATAAGTTTCCTTGATTTCGTGACCCAAACGATGTTTGTCACCATCGCCCCAGGTGAACAACTTACGAGATGAAGCATTTGTACCAGACTGGCCCATAACTTCTACAATAGCTGCAGTATGCCAAACTCCGCATGCTACTTTTATAGTCTTTAGTCCATTCAACGACTGTACCTCCCTTGGATACGGAACACTCTCTCGATCTCCATGGCCCAAAACACCGAACGCTCCATCTCCAAATGTAAATAGCTTTCCATTCGAAGTTGCTAAAGCTGAATGCCATGTGCCACATGCAACAGATAGAACCTGAAGTCCTTCTAAAGGACCAGTAACCCTTTTAGGTATCCAGTGGCTAACATCAGTTCCAAGACCAAGAAGTCCAGCATTATGTGTACCATCACCCCACGTAAACAAATCACCTGATGTAGATACAGCACATGTGTGGTACTCACCACATGCAACAAATTCAATGTTATTAATTGCGAGGAACTCAACAAGGCGAGGACGACTAAAATCTCTATCAATCCCATGACCGAGTCTTCCACCCGATTCCTCTCCCCAGGTGAAAACCTCCCCTTGCCTTGTTACAAGAGCAACATGTCGCACACCACAAGCTATCTGCTGAACATCGAGAACAACATTCGACTCCAAGGGCTTTGGAATCAGCACATCGATTTTTTTAGAGATTGAATTCGCACACCCATCAGGTCCATTTCCATCAGACCAGATCTCTCCCCACACATAAACATCTCCTAGTGATTCTATATCATCATGTCCAGACCCTCCACTTGAACAGCTATGAGTGCTTGAAACACTAATTCGAAAACCATCTCCTGCACTTGATCGTTGTTGCATATTTGCACGTTCTGAACCCACATCTGAGCCTGTCAAATTCACTGATTCACGAGAATCAACGGATACCCTACCACTGGCAATGCTTGACGTGAACTCTAAGGTCGCACCAAATGGACGGCTGTGAACAGATTCAGCAGAGTCTTGCAACTGAAGGGAAAGCAAACAACTACGTTGAATCTTCTCAAAACATATTAATGCAGAACAATTATGAGTGGATCAAGACAATCGCGTTACATATACTTTGTGAATTTTAGTGCTGGCGGTTTCTCATAATGCATGAATTGTACGAAGGAAACCACCAAATATGTTAATGCACTGATAATTTTCTAACTTGCATATAATTGTATGTTTACAAAGTTCTCATTACAGATTTCATGGAATTTGAATTATTCTTTTATTTACATAACTGAAATTCAGGTAGCTCTGTATGTCAAATCTTATCTGCAAGAAAAATTAATCTTCCTGAAAACGGTGAGGGCCATCTTTCATCTGCAATTGCTAGACATCCCATACTATTCTACCTCCTGTATAGTTTTTCCCCCGTTTTTTAAAAGGCTTGAGAGGCACAAATCTGCATCTGTCATCTCAGAGTTCTAATGATTTGCTACAATTTATTGTATCAGTAAATTGTTCATATAACTTTTACTAGAGCACGGAACTTTATTACATATTGCGTAACAGTTCTTTTTTTAGTTCATGCTGATGAATATTGAACGTTCATTAGAACATCACCAAGATTACTGCTAATTATATATTTTAGTAAACAGAAGAATAAATGGCAGCCAATTGAATATATAAATATTAGGATTGTCAGGCAATTTCGGAGCAGATATTTTCTCAACCATCTCCAGGTAACTTCACAAGAAATATTCAGCCCTTTTCGAAGGCAAAACTCGTATAAACTAACCTATTACAATCACAACATAATTAACCATTCGAACGATAAGAAAGAACTAGGAAACCATAAAAAAAAAGTACAAGCATAAGCAGTTACGAATGCATTTTTTTTAAATTGGAAACTTACATCAGAAATATCACTCTGACTACGTCTACTACGCTCTTTTCCTGAAGTAATTAGCGCCTTAAGGCCAGCAAACCATATCTCTGCCTCAGCTTTGTCCTTGCAAATCTATAAAGAGGATTGCCGAGTTTAAACTTTTCTGCTAAACTGGCTGTAACAGAAAAACTTGAAACTAACACTTGATTTTACTTACCAGATCAAGTGTTCGTTCACCGTTCTTATATAGAAGTGAAAATGACAAGTAATCCTTTTCTGGGCGCAAATACCTTCTAAACACAGCCTATAAAGAAGCAGTAGAAGTATTTATTCCATCAAGTAGGACACAAAAGTGGTTCATAATTATATACTGAAACGCACAATTACTGAGTTGAAACACAAAAATATTGATTAGTTCTTGGTAGTGGAGTATTAAACTCACTGTTCTCTGTCCGGGGATAATTCGAGAGACAGAAGCTAATTTCAGAGTACGTTCTTCTCCATGTGAATACCAGATTAGTGTAGTTTCATCCTGTTAAAGATACGAAAAATGAAGCCATTCAAGCAGTTAAGATATCTAGTAATGATTGTGGAGATGCACAGCAGGAAGAAGATGTACGATTAAAAACATCCTAATGTAAGGGAAACTACTCACAGTAGAAATTCTGAATGGACAAAGTTTTGGCTTTCCTTTCCGGCTATACTTGATTAACTGGGAACCTTTTTTTAATGCAATGAGTGCCTTCATGAGAGAGAGATGAATATTAGGTGAAAAGTATTGCCAAATCACACAGAGATCAAAATCTTGAATATATCTGTTTAACCATATCAAAGTGAGTGAGTGAAAGGGTGCAGTCTGCAGAAAGGGCAACATTTTCACCCCTAGGAAGTTGCAAACTGAACTTTTACACAGATATTGGATTTTTATTAATTCCCTTCGCGAATCAAAAAGCAAATTGTTCGAGTAATGCAGGTAACTTTGATATACATATGCGTTGATCTACGTAAGACGATTATAAGTTATAACTGTATCGTCATAAAATAACAGCCAGACCAAGATTTCATTAAATTACCGTCTTTTCAGAAAGAAAACTCAACAGGGAAAAGCACAAAATGTATGCAAACCCGAAAGTGTATGAGGTCTCATTGTTTTCTAGGCAAACAAAAACAAATACCAAATAATCTAAAGGTAAAAAAAGAGGGCAGTGATGGGAAACTGACTTGTTCAGTATCACGCTCATAATTCCCATAGCTAGCAGGATCTGCCATTCCATCTGAAACTTTCGTAAGGAATTAAACACCGAAGAAGAAGCAAGCTCAACCGACAACTGCATCGGTGACTTCCCTTCATCAGTCTTCATAGAGGAATATGCTTTCTTCCACTTTGGCCTCTCATCAAATTCCTAGTGCCCTTCTAAACAAGAACCATATACATTCCCAAAACAAAAAACTTGGGAACCTCAATCGGGTCACTAACTTGTTGGAAATCAATAGCTTCTTCAGTTACAAATTGGCCCTCGTGAAAAATTCTCGAGGAAGTCGATCGAACAGCCTCAGATATTCACCGTAAAATTCTGCATAAGATGTGAATATTGAGTTTCTGAGCCTGAAAACGACACAGATCAATCAGAGAGAGAGAGAGAGAGAAAGAGGAAAGAGAGGGAGGAGTGGGAAATGAGAGGGCAGTAAGCGATCTCACATGTTTAGGGAAGTTTGCAGCTCAAAAGAAAAGAGGGCGAGATATTGGCGCGCCTCTTTCTCTTCATCCACGTCCCACCAACGAGTTAAACTACTTTTCAAAAATATTAATTAAAAATTATTACTCCCAATCTGCTTCTGCCACGTGGTTTGATTTGAGAAGTGAAGGAAAAACAGTTGCAGATGGAAGAAGACTACAACAAATTTGGCGATGATACTTCTGCAAAACAAATTGAACAGACTGTTGAAGGTGCACGGCTATCTTCGGTCGCATTCCCTTGCCTGTAAGATGTGAGTGTCAAGGAGAATGACTTCTAGTTCTCGTCAAACTTGTACTTCAGTTTTGAGTTATCAAGTTGAGAACATTACGTACTTACTTGGCTGAGATTGGGAGTCCTAACAACGTGCAACTATATTCAGATAGCCTTATCATGTTTTGACAAGAGTTCATAATGGAATAGGACTATATCGAACCCTAATCAATATAGAATATCCAAGTATCAGTTGATAGGCCCGATACCTAGGATGGTTGGCTATATATTAGGATGTCCCTGCACTCACAGCGCCATCCTTTCCTGAGCAAACCCTATTCTAGTTGGATATTGCTGCTGAGTGTAGAAGACTCCTGTTATACCTTGCATCCAAGTCGAGCACTTCTCCAGGTAAGTCATGTATTACATTTACGTATGCATGTGATCGTGTATATGTGGTTCTATGCATGTAGTGTATAAGTATCTAACATGTGGTATCAGAGCACACACTGTCATGTTTAGAATCCTTTCAAGCACGAGAAAATATTGATTAAATGCACGATCCTGACATAAGACTTCCGCACAATGAAGCTGATAGAGTTATCAACTATTATTGACAGACATCACGTTTGGAATTATATCACTCATATACGCATATATATATATATATGTACCTGTTTTGCAAGTTTATCTCCAGGAGTACAAGGATGTGTCTTCAGATTTCGGAGAATCAAAACTGAAGTACAAGTTACTGTCACTATATGACCTGACAGTCAAATTTTGGATCATGATCAATTTCAACTCAAAAGTGTTTGTATCATGTTTCAAATTATCAGTTCAAATTGAACAGAACGATTAAACTGATGATGAATATGTTTTGAGATAATTCTAAAGAATTCTTATATTCAGTCATGTTTAATTGGTGTTTAAGTGAGATACAAAATTAGTATAAATGCAATTTTATCTGCTCAAAAGTATTAAAATTGTGTTGCTAATGGGAATTTTGTATTTTGTTTGTGCAAAACCTAATATAATCAGTTTTCGATCTAAAGATGTGACTAGTATTATATGTTTTGATGCCATTAATTGTTCATATCGTGAACCCTTAATGAAGAACTTATGAGCACAAATACTGAAGCGTATGTTGTTGATATAGCTATGACTTCTCTTAATTTCTCCAATATCAAAACACTAACTGGATCCAACTACAAAAGGTGGAAGGATGACCTGGAGATAGCTCTTGGTATGATGGACTTCGATTTGGCCTTAAGGGAGGATAAACCTGCAGCAATAACAACTACAAGTACAGCAGATGAAATACTAAAGTTTGCTCAATGGGAGAAGGCAAACAGAATGGCTCTTATGACTATGAGGAGGGCCATGACAAGCAGTGTGAAAGGTGGCATACCAAAGAGTGATAGTGCAAAACAATTTTTTGATGCAGTGGGAAACAAATTTAAGGAGTCCGAGAAAGCTAAAACGGGGAATTTTCTCACAAAACTGACATCCATGAAGTTTGATGGTGTTGGTAACGTGAGAGAACACATACTGAAGATGTCAGACATTGCACAAAAGCTGAAGGAACTGGAGCATCCAATCACAGATCAGTTTCTAGTGCATATGGCGTTGAATTCATTACCTGCGTAGTATGGCCAGCTGAAAGTGTCATACAACACTCAGAAAGCAACATGGGACATTGATGACTTGATTTCCATGTGTGCTCAAGAGGAATTGAGATTATCAACTGATAAGGTGGAGACTGTGAACCTTGTTCACACTACTGCAAAGGGCAAACGTGTTGCAGTTGATCAATTATCTGTGGCTGCTGGTAAGCAGAAGAAAATGTTACATTTTTCTTCTTTTAAAAATGCTAACCCCCTTAAACGATCTCAAAAGTTTAAAGCTAATTCTGAAGAACCAAAGCCTTGTTATTTCTGCAAAGAAGTTGGTCATCTAAGGAAAGATTGCACTGGTTTTAAAAATTGGCTTGTTAAGAAAGGTAATGAAATCAATGTTTGTGTTTGTTTCGAGTCAAATTTGATTTATGTTCCTCCTTTTAGTTGGTGCTTTGATACTGGTTGCTCAATTCATATTACAAATACCTTGCAGGGATTCACAAACCTAAAGGAGAGAAATAATGAAGTTTACAATGTTTTTGTTGGGAATGAGAGCAAGGTAGCAGTCGAGTCTGTTGGCAGTGTCTCTTTAAAGCTTTCTTCTGGTTTTGTTTTGTTTCTAAGTCCAGTACTCTATGTACCTTCTATGAGAAGGAATTTGATTTCAGCTTCTAAGTTAGTCAAATCAGGTTATACTTTTATTGGAGACAATGAGAGTGTAAAACTTTTTCATTCGAATAAATTAGACACCTTGCTTGGTTATGCCTTACTTCATATTGATATGTGGCAACTGCAGTGTGACTATCTACATGAATGTTTCACAGTTTGTCACATTGGTTCCAAAAGATTATCTTCAAATGAAACCTCTCCTACACTTTGGCATAAAAGGCTCGGACATATATCCAAAGAAAGACTTGTGATTTTAACTAAACAAAATCTCATTCCAAATCTTGATTTTCAAAGTCTTCCAACCTGTATTGATTGTTTTAAGGGAAAAACGACCAACACCAGAAAATTAGGATCCACAAGAAGCAACCAACTCTTAGAGATAATTCATACAGATGTGTGTGGCCCTTTTCCAAATCAAACTATATGTGGCAACTCCTATTTTGTTACATTCATTGATGATTTCTCAAGATATTGTTATGTGTATCTTATATCTGAAAAATCTTCTGTTCTTGATTGTTTTAAAACATATAAAACTGAGGTTGAGAACCAACTAGAAAAAAGTATCAAAATAGTGAGATCGGATAGGGGTGGTGAGTATTTTGGCAGGTTCACAGAGACTGGACAACACAAGGGAGCTTTTGCATATTATCTTGAAGGCTCGGGGATCATTGCTTTAAACACCACTCCAGGTACTCCACATCAAAATGGAGTGGCAGAAAGGAAGAATAGAACCCTCAAGGACATGATTCGATCCATGTTTTCAAGGTCTACACTTCCCATTTTCCTATGGGGAGAAGCACTTAAAACAGCCAATTACACACTCAATAGGGTTCCAAGCAAGTCTGTCAAAGTTATACCTTTTGAAGCTTGGACAGGAAGAAAGCCAAGTTTTAATCATTTTCATGTATGGGGTTGTAGAGCTGAAGCACGGTTTTATAATCCTCACAAGAGGAAGTTGGACCCGAGAACTGTTACTTGCAGGTTTATTGGGTATGCAGACAAGTCCAAGGGTTTTAAGTTTTACTATCCTGATTCTCACACTAGAATTCAGGAGACAAACTATGCAAAGTTTATTGAAGATTTGGAAGAAGAAAGAGTACATCACAACACTTCAGAATTCGAAGAAATTGAAAATGAAGATGGTCAGTTATCCACAACAACTGATGCATCGTTACTTGGAACTCAAGAAAACTTGATTTCTCTCCTAATTGTTTTACCAACTGCTTCATCAGTAAGCACTATGTCTCTTTCTGAAACAGTGCATGCTTATGATCCTAAACCTCAAATCCCTGAAAACCAAGTACTTGAGGAAAGAGCTCCACCATTGCAACAAGCGCAATTGCCTATTAGGCATTCAAGCAGGCAAAGAAAACCGGTGATCCTACCTGATTTTGTGTATTTACAAGCGACTGAATATGACATAGGAGATGATGATGATCCCTTAACATTCAATCAAGCTATCAATAGCTCAAGAGCGGATCTATGGCATGCAGCTATGGTTGAAGAACTTGTAGCTATGGAAAAGAACCAGGTTTGGACATTGGTGCCGCTTTCATGCAATGCTAAGCCTATTGGTTGTAAATGGGTGTTCAAAACCAAAAGAAATGTAGGGGGAAAGGTTGAAAGACACAAAGCTAGACTTGTAGCTAAGGGTTTCACACAAAGGGAATGAATTGACTATAATGAAACTTTTTCACCAGTTTTATCCAAAGACTCCTTGAGGGTGATCATGGCATTAACAGCCCATTTCAACTTGGAATTAGATCAAATGGATGTAAAATCGGCCTTTCTTAATGGTGTTTTAGATGAAGAAATTCTGATGGTTCAACCACCAGGTTTTGAGGAGAAAGGGAAAGAGATTATGGTTTGCAAACTCAACAAATCGATCTATGGTTTAAAGCAATCATCCAGGCAGTGGTACATCAAATTCTATCAAGTGGTTTCTGCTTTTGGTTTTGAAGAAAACAAGATTGATGACTGCATATATCTCAAGGTCAGTGGCACGAAATTTATATTTTTGGTCTTGTATGTGGATGATATTCTCTTAGCAAGCTCAGACTTGACTCTTTTGCACACCACTAAGACCATGTTAACCAAGAGTTTTGAAATGAAAGATCTTGGTGAGGCGCATTTCATTCTTGGCATTGAGATTGAGAGAGACAGATCCAAAAGGATGCTGAGGTTGTCTCAAAGATCTTATATTGACAGAATCATGAAGATGTTCAACATGGAAAAATGCGCAGGTGGTGAGCTTCCCATAGTAAAGGATGATAAGCTTAGCACGGACCAATGCCCTAAAAATGATCTCGAGAAAAATGGAATGAACGACAAGCCTTACGCATCACTTGTTGGCAGCATCATGTATGCTCAAGTATGCACAAGGCCTGATCTAGGGTTTGCAGTTAGTGTTCTAGGTCGTTTTCAGTCTAATCCCGGTACTTCTCACTGGACTGCAGCAAAGAAAGTACTAAGGTACTTAAAAAGAACAAGGAACCTTGCACTGGTATACCAGGAGGTTGAAAGGTTGGAAATTGTGGCTTATTCCGACTCAGACTTGGCAGGCTGCATTGATGACAGAAAGTATACGAGTGGATATGTTTTTCTCTTTGCTGTTGGTGCAATTTCGTGGAAAAGCTCCAAGCAAAAGGTGATTGCCTCTTCAACTATGGAGGCTGAGTTTATTGGTTGCTACACTGCCACCAAACAAGCAATCTGGTTGAAGAACCTTATTATGGGACTGAAGGTTGTAGACTCAGTTGAGAAACCGATAACTATCAAATACTTTATCGCCGAGCTGTGACTTAAGCCAACTGGCAATGTCGCGATCAGTGTTTCCCTATGTCTCCTCCTTCATGGGAACAACAACAAAGATTCAAACTTTAATCAAAACCGAGACCAAACGAAACTAAACAAAGCACATTCGAGGCCATTAATTAACCAAGCAATTCACAAGGACTCACTATTAGAGAATAGGATTCCACATCGGTCATGTAACAAAATAATACACAATTACTATATGAGTGTTTCCATCACTAATACCATCGAGATCTTTTGTCATAAAACCTAGTACCTATTAATAGGTGGTTAAGTTTGAACAATATTGATTATATTAATGGTAGACCATGTCACTCGCGGCCTCGGCAGTGTCGAAAGCATTAATCCCATTTTCAACTGCGTAGAGAATCTCGTGAGCTTTTATCTCAGTGTTTTGCTCACTGAAAGTCATGGTTTGGAGAGTGATTTCGCTAATTACATGGTTCGAGTCATCAAGCTTCCTGTATTGCAACGAGGTATTAAGGTCTTGCTTGGCATCGAAGGTGAAGGTTGCTTTGATGATAGAGCTCCTCTGCCGCCGGAAGCTTCTGGCTCTACTTTTACGAGGTGACCACGGTGCTGCTGCCGCTGCATGGTTGCAGAGAAAGGCGGTGGAGCACAAAGCCATGGCGACGGATCAGAATTTCTTGCTCCGTTGCTAACTTATCGAAATCCAACTGCTGCAAAAGATCAATGCAGCTCTATGAGAAGTGTGTGACTCTGGTGATCTTAACTGAGTGGTAGTAGTTGGGCATGTGGGTCGGACCCTTACAAATCCACACCCACTACCATCGTCGCCATCACACACACACACATATATTTTTTATTTTTTTTAAAATTTTTTGAATGAAACAATAGCGTTAGTAAGTTAAATGTTAGATTAGTCACTGATGGGGTTTGAACCCACGCCGTCATGCAAAGGCACAACACCTTTCCACCACAGTGGTAAATGACCACTTGCATTAAAAGTTCCGTTGCCGGAAAACTCGTCGTCTCCTTATATAAATGGTGAGATATGCGTGTTAAAAGATTAATAACTTAAAAATTAAAATTTTCTACCACTTACATAAAAATACGTGATGTACCATCTGTATTTTTGCCACAACTAAAAATTTCTCCATCACAACCATGCTCACCACCTTCGATGCCCCATATCTTTGTCGCCACTATCTCCCCCAATCTACCATGCCACCACATTTATGTTGCCATCAGCCCAACTCCCACCATCGTCAGTGCCCCACCATTACCAATGACACCACCGTTGCACGGGCAATCATCCACCATCTTAAAGACCAGCACCGCATTTGTCAAGTGTCATTTCTCTCGTTTGTAGATTGATGAATTTAGATGTACAGTAGATTTTGTATTTGAATTACATTGTAATTAAGGCGATTAAAATTTATGGATTTATAACTTCATTAAAATTCCAATTATGCACTAGTCAAACAAGAAACTTCACAAATTCCAGAAATTTATGTCTGTTGTAAATATCATTTAAAATGTGGTTGTCCATTTCTACACCAATATATAGTATGTCAATAGTTTATG